AAAAAAAAAAAAAAAAAAAAAAAAAAAAAAAAAAAAAAAAAATCGCATCACATTACCTCTATCGAGCGCGCCGCACGCGACTTGAGGACGTGCAAAGCTTCGTCGCTCTTCTCTCGCATCGCTAATTCACGCGAAGGTATACGACGCTTTAAAACAGTTTACATGTGGGTTTGTGCACACTTGCAGCATCGATTAAGCAAAACAAGCGCCTTGAGACGATGTCGATAGCACCTGTACTTAAATTCTTATCTTTGAAGTGCATCGGTGAAAAAAAAAAAAAAAAAGAAGTTTAGGGCTAAAATAAAAGGGCCGAGAACTCTGGCGCGCCTTACTCGACGAACAAAAGCGCCTCGGAAGCTTTCTCCTCATTTTTTTTTGTGTCGCAATCTGTTAACTATCGCTTAACGCCTTGATCTTGACCTCAATTCGATGCGTGTAGTTGCAGGAGCTTGATTGTAGCAAACATTTTTTTTTTTTTTTTCTATACGTAAATCCATAACTCGGCTTACTTAACTGTTATACTTTATCAAATATCACAATGATTACCATACGCTCTATATCAAACGGACATCGCGTCAGCAAGTGGAACTAGGCCATACTTTTTTTTTCTTTTGATACCCACAACAATTGAGCGCTTCGTTGGGAGAAGCACGGAGTTTTAAACAAATACGTGACCCTAAACAAGCTTATTCACTGCAGTTGTGACAGACTATTAAAACAAAGCCGTGACGTGTTATCGCGTATGCAAAATCCATGATAAATAACACACGGGCATCGATGCGAAAAACGTGATCGGCAAGTGAGAAGAAGATGGCAAAGACCGATCTTTCAAGAGCACTTCACTCGAGTGCACGTCGGCCACTTTGAGTTTGTTATAAATCGTCTCGAGGCTGGTGGATTTTTCTTACTCTCATTGACATTCGGAGTGGACAATGGGTAACCGATCGCCTAAGTATATTTATATATTTATGACCGTATCATAAAGGGCATATTCAAAGAAATAACTTGTACAGGTGCAATCGGTCATTCTAGTTTTACAGACCGGATTAGCCTCGGATCGGTTTAAGCAATAAAAAAAAAAGAAAAAAAAATTCTTACAATCAACTCTGTCAAATAGGTCGAGTTACATCATCGTACCCCTTAAAGTGTAATCCACACTCATGTGGGCGTATTAAAATAAGCTATAGTGAATTGACGTAGAGTCAAATAGAGAAGAGAACTAACTGTATAAAAGAGAGAAGAAGAAGAAAAAAAAAAACCATTACAGAGACGTGGCTCGAGCACACGTGGTCCATTTTTCTAGCGCAAACAATCCCACACTGGATTCTACGCACTCATACATCTTACACCCATTATTTTGTTTTTCTCTTCCCTCCCTTTTTTTTTATTATCGCGACATACGATCGTTATAACTCGCTGCGCGCGGTCACGTTGATATTTTTCATGTAAATGACCATTAGTGACATTAACAACTCACGATTCACGTACATATTCACTTAGACGATGCGATTCGCGTTGATTCGATCAATCAGGGGGTATAAACGCATCCCTTATTTGTACCGTTATTGTATCAAACGGCACAACGGAGCTATTGTTGAAACAACTTCGGAAGAGAGAGAGATAAAAAAAATAATGTCGCGCGCGATAAGCGAGCTTGTTTACCCGATTACGTCTTTGCCTCCGACTTGGATGAGGTATATGTAATATTGTACACACACTCACGCGCATACGTAACACGAGAGAGAGAGAGAGAGAGAGAGAGCGGTGACGAGCCTCCTCACGAACTATTAATACGACCACCGCGCGAGTACGCACGTACAGAGCTTTGGTCATGGTGTGTATCCCTCTCTCTCTCTCTCTCTCTCTGAAATTTGAATTATATCGTCCAAGTGCCCGCACTCGGTCTGCGTTTTATAATTTAATGGCCTATATAAGCTCGGATTTTAGAAAGCCACGAGTTTTTCCATTGTCCGGCACACGTATTTTCTCTCGATAAAGTTGAAATCGCTTTACAAGCCCTACTTGTTAGCTTGAACTCATCATATTGGTTCGTGTGGTTTCAACCCCAATATTAGATTAGCAAATAACGGATGATATCTGGGAAAGCATTCGTGACATTCAAAGTAGGTGCGCTGGCGTGCCAAGATACTCGGGCTTCTTGAACCTATGTAAGATGGGAGATATCGAGCGAGCGATGAATCGTTTGGCAGAGAGAAAGACGCGTGTCCACATTGAACACACCTGTTTCTTTTTTTTTTTTTTTTTTCCGACTTATCTCGATCTTTTTTTGTTTTCCCCACTCACTCGCGCCGAATTTTCGAGAATAGAACCACCGGCGAGCCCGGGCTTTAGAACATGTATACAACCACGCGGGAGAAATTTACGTAAAAATAGCACCTTTGCTCATATGAAATGTGTGATCGATTGTTTCAGGTATCCGCTACTCCCTGGACGTCAGTCGAGACGAGGTGAAGGCCCTGTCCGCCCTGATGACCTTCAAGTGTGCCTGCGTGGACGTGCCGTTCGGCGGCGCCAAGGCCGGCATCAAGATCAATCCCAAGGAGTACTCGGACAACGAGCTCGAGAAGATCACCCGCAGGTTTACCCTCGAGCTCGCCAAGAAGGGCTTTATCGGTACGATTTTCTTTCTCCCCCACCCTCTTTGTGTCACAGTATGTTCTTATCTCATTGTCTCTAGGTCCGGGAGTGGATGTGCCGGCTCCGGACATGGGTACAGGTGAGCGCGAGATGTCCTGGATCGCGGACACGTACGCCAAGACGATCGGCCACCTGGACATAAACGCTCACGCCTGTGTCACCGGCAAGCCAATCAACCAGGGTGGAATCCACGGTAGGATTTCGGCCACCGGCCGAGGCGTCTTCCACGGGATCGAGAACTTCATCAACGAGGCCAACTTCATGGGCATGATCGGCACGACGCCCGGCTGGGGTGGCAAGACCTTCATCGTCCAGGGCTTTGGTAACGTCGGCCTACACACGATGCGCTACCTGCACCGCGTTGGCGCCAAGTGCATCGGTGTCATCGAGCACGACGGCTCCATCTACAATCCCAATGGCATCGACCCCAAGGTACATATATTATGGTGCTTCTTTTTATTATGGCTATAGGTTGGTTTTTTTTTAATATACATGAAACTTTTTTTTCGACGCCGGTCTGCAGCTACTCGAGGAGTACCGTCTTGATAACGGCACGGTCGTCGGGTTCCCCCACGCGCAGCCCTACGAGGGTGAGAACCTCATGTTCGAGCCATGCGACATATTCATTCCAGCGGCCATCGAGAAAACCATCACCAAGGACAACGCCCACCTTATTCAGGTATATAGTTGTGAACGTAGCGCCTTTGTACTTGTTCGCTCGAGCGTGATAATTGACGATAACGATGCTACAGTGCAAAATCATCGCCGAGGCTGCCAACGGTCCAACGACGCCCGCGGCCGACAAGATTCTCATTGATAGGAACATTCTCGTCATCCCAGATTTGTTTGTCAACGCTGGCGGTGTCACGGTCTCCTTCTTCGAGTGGCTCAAGGATCTCAACCACGTCTCGTACGGTCGTCTCACCTTCAAATACGAGAGAGAATCGAACTATCACCTACTGGGTAATATTGAGAAACAAAAATTTCGCGTGCTCGTGTATAATGGAATATTTGAAATTCTTATACTTTCTCGACGAAACGTGTGTTACAGAATCCGTGCAGGAATCTCTCGAACGTAGGTTCGGACGCGTGGGCGGTCGGATTCCTGTTACACCCTCCGAGGCCTTCCAAAAAAGAATCTCCGGTGCTTCCGAAAAAGACATCGTGCACTCCGGACTGGACTACACCATGGAGCGATCTGCTAAGGTGAGTTTCGTCAAACATCTGCACGAATCATTGAACCGACGAAAGGATACAGTGAATTGTCGTTTCAGGCCATCATGAGGACAGCGATGAAATACAACCTCGGCTTGGACTTGAGGTCTGCGGCGTACGTGAACTCTATCGAGAAAATCTTTACGACCTATAACGAGGCAGGTTTAGCTTTTTAAGCTCGCGAACCTAAGCGTTGAGCGATGCGAGGATAGGAGAGTAATTTAAACGTAATTGCTAAAACATGCGAAGCCATCGCGTAAGCAGTATTCGTTAAAAATGCATGACGACGTAGGGAAAAAAGAAGAAAATCAAAAAACACACAAGAGAGGCGAGAGCCTTTTTTTGACAGTCGAGATTGTTGCACGCATTTAAAACACAAATTCACAAAGTTGCAAAGTGAGGGTTGTTGCTGTTCTTGTTGTTGATGTTACCCAAGAGTGAATAGAAACCGCGTTTTTTTTTCCCAAACGAGATAAAGTTACGAGTTTGAACAAAGAAACACGGCTTCGATGTATTTTGCACACCATTACAAGGACGCCACTGCTTGATATGATTAACATAGTCATTCAGCGTTTTTAAAAGGAATGAAATCACAATAAACGTATGTAACTATTATTATTATACACCGAACAAACGTGTTGAATGTGAAAGCGCATTTTTCGCGTGCATTTTATATATAAATATACAACCATGTATTTATGAATGAATTTTTATCATCAACAGATTTATTGTCGTTTGCATCGTTTGTTTTTCTCTGAAATTTTTTTTTTTTTTTTTTTTTTTTTTTTAAAAGGAATTTAAAAAAAAAAACTGCCCCCTTTTTTAAAAAAAAAAAAAAAAAAAAAAAAAAAAAAAGAAACAATATGAAAGTTACTTAACTGATAACGTACTTGTCTGCCCACGTTCTAATGGCGCAGGTCCACTCGTATTACCTTAATTATAATAACGAATGAGAAATGAACTAAACAAAAAAATATTTGTTATGCCGACTGCAGCAGATAATATGTTGAATAAATATTACACACGTTGCAACGTAATCTTGAATTGTTTTTTTTATTTTTTTCATACCAAACTTTGTTATTTTTTTTTCTTTTTATAAATCATGAAAAATTGTTTAAAATAGTTAAAAGCTCACATTTTCAAATCCATAAAAAAAAAAATTTTTTCTCAAAGGCATTAGCGCGGCTATAAAGCGCGCATACCCAAGCAAAGAACGACGCAAGCAAAAAGTGCAAGAGGCGAAGACGGAGGAGGGAAAACAAAAGGTCGGCCGGACTACACGTGACGGCACAGCTGATGGTTTTATTGTGTCTGATAACAGAGGATGTAGATCGTCCGCTAATAAAAAAAAAAAATTGCACAGAACAACGAGCCTACTCGACTCTTGTAAGTTATTAAAACAGCGTGAAACTCTAGCGATGAATCTCTTTTATTATTACCGATTTCTCTCAATTGTATCGTGCAATTGATTTGTTTTTTATCGGCCGTTGAGTGAAGTGGACAAAGAAAGTACATCCTCGTTTTGGCACTCGTGCGATTCTTTCAAGTTCAAGAATATAATATAGGCTCGATAATTTCGCGAGATATAGAGATAAAGAATGTACAGTTAACTCTGGTCGCCACGACATAATATTAATGATCGGTCGTTGACTTATAAAAAAAAAAAAAAAAACAGATTCAGCTGAGTGAAAAAAAAATGTATTCTAAAATTTTCTGTATCACAGTTGTATTACGTGGGGATTAAATTTAAACAGGTGAATGTTTGATGACAAAACTTGTTTTTGCTCTCAAATCAATAGAGTTGCAACAAAATGATGTACAGATAAGATTTACCTGTATATGATGCACACAGAGAGAGATTAGGATGAAAAAAAAAAAAAAAAAGATAAGAGCCGCATGTAAAGAGAGGAAAGAAGAGCCGTCGCGCACACACATTAATGTACCGTTGCGGCTCTTCTCCCCGTATATGTGTAAAAAAAAATACACCCATAGGTCGTCTCTTTCCCTCTCTTTAGCGCTTCTTCTTCTTCTTCTTCCAAACCAGTTCCGCTCCTCCTCGTCCGATGTGTGTGCACTCGCACAGAGTTCGCGAAGACGCACCAGCGCAGATCAGCACTCTACTGCCACGCTGCCAGTTTCGTCTAACGTGGAGATCACTCGCGACCGGCTTTTTTTCTTTCTCTGGGATTGTTTGTTTATTGATCGAAGAGACCGGTTTTTCCCACACGCAAGGCGATCATTCAACTTAAGGACAAACTGCATAGTACTCGGCCGAGATGGGCTACTTGAAGTCGGTGGGCACGAGCATCATTTGGATCTACACGGCCCTTGTCGTCATCACCTTTTGGCCTGGACTACGTCCATATGGGGATTTTAAGGAACACGAGTACGTACACGTTGCGCACTTTCAAAAAAAAAAAAAAAAAAGAATAAAAAACAATTGTCAACACGTACAAGGTGTCTTGAAGAACATAATGACTAATGGCTTTTCCGTTGGCGTGACTTGTAATTGGAGTTGGTTTCCGTGGAACTACACTTTTCGTTTCATAATTTAAAAGTACACACAAAAAATTTAAATAGTAATGGTGTTACGATGAAAATTAGTACATTTACGAGGTACGCGGGAGTGTGTAATTTATTACGTTACCATATATAGTAATTTTTTTACTATGCTTTCAATGAATTTTTATCACTTATAAAACTGTTTTTAATGTGATACAATTAAGATTCTCATTAAAAAAAAAACCTCGTTAAATCATAATATTGAACCTTGTCTAGTAATCTTGCAAACTTTGCGCAACAATTTCTTACTAAAGTGGAAAATCATCGTACAATATACTCACAACAGAAAAGGATTCTTTCGATAAAATAGCTAGGCGTCTAAAACACGGATAAAGAGAAAACTTCACTGTCTGAGCTGAAAAAAAAAAAAAAAAAAAAAAAAAGAAAAAAAAAAAAAAAAAAAAAAAAAAAAAAGTAGATGCAAAATCTAAAATATACCATTTACCGAAAACATGTGAAGACCCACACACTGCTTCAATAAAGTTCTTAACTATATTATGTGGAGTTCCCGAAGATTCAAATAGCTGATATCTCGAAACCGAGATATACAAGAAACGTAATTAAATTACCAATGATGTTTTGTCCAACTTGCGCGTGCTGCAATACGATGATTCACCGGAAGAAAGCTGAATAGCATTTTTTCTCCTCGATCACTCATATTAAAAAAAAAGTAACCACTTGGCTCGACAACAGATCAGAAACTAACGAGCATGCAAAAGCGCAGACGATAAAAAAAAAAAAAAAAAAAAATCGCATCACATTACCTCTATCGAGCGCGCCGCACGCGACTTGAGGACGTGCAAAGCTTCGTCGCTCTTCTCTCGCATCGCTAATTCACGCGAAGGTATACGACGCTTTAAAACAGTTTACATGTGGGTTTGTGCACACTTGCAGCATCGATTAAGCAAAACAAGCGCCTTGAGACGATGTCGATAGCACCTGTACTTAAATTCTTATCTTTGAAGTGCATCGGTGAAAAAAAAAAAAAAAAGAA